CCCCCCCTCTGCGGAGTTCTGTCTCCGCAACGCTCAGACTTTGACTTTGAATGGACTTTGGTGACCCCAGAATCCGAAGGTACAAATGTACTCACATTATGACGACGTGTGATGCGAACACGCGCAGGTTCACAGACCGGTCACGTTGGTGAGCCCGACAAGCTGAAAATCAGACATTTGATTTTCTTTTTCTTTTCTTTTTCACAAGTGACAGCACAGTCACAAATATAATCTGTTGATTTATTTTCATGACAACACAGTGTTTATAATTCACAAACTGCATGTCACAAAGGTTGCGTTATCAAACCGGGAAACGCCGAATGAATAACTCGCAATCGCGACCGGCAAAAATGAACTTACTAATCTTATCGCATTTGGTTTTCAAATATCGAGAACTTTATGTATTTTCCCGGGTCATTCTCTGGGCAAATTACAGATTTCCTCAAATTCCCGGGGCATTCCCGGGTCTCGGCAATTCTTTTCGAATTCCCGGAGCCTGGCGGTCACCTTGTCAAGAGGTACAAGTGACAGGGCAGTTTTTTTTAAACCGCATCGAATCTGATGGACTCAGTCATGATTGATCTCTATCGAATTAAAGTCAAGAACTACAAACCAGGCTTTCTAAATGCATTTATGTAAGCTAATTTGCTGTTAAATTGGCACAGTTAGCAACTGATCACAACAGTGCCCCTTCTCCAATGGAGTGGACCTTTTGCTGACGTCTCCGAACGAACGCAAAAAGTCTCTTTTTAAAAATAAAGGAATAACTATGTGGTCACCCCCTCCCTGGGTCCCCTTTGTTGATTTCTTTATTTTAAACATTTGCACATTATATTTATTCATTACTTCAACACATGAACCTATAGTCGAATAAAAATATAATAAGAAAGCTTTGTAATGACCATGGACAAGTGATCAGTCAAATTTTCAATTTGGGATATTTTGATCGACCAAATTCTTCAAACCACTGCCGCTCTCAAACTTTGCTGCCTATCAAGACTAGGCCTATCTTTGTGAGAACATGTTACACATTCATGCCAGTGCATCACGGGAGCTTGGTTTCCGTTTGGAAAAAGAAACAAGACGCGAGTTATTTACTTTATAAGGAAAGTGGCCGCATAGTTCAGCAGGCCGCAAATAGAGCCTTTACTCTAGTCATAATTACTCTCTCTCTCTCTCTCTCTCTCTCTCTCTCTCTCTCT